TATGATCAATGTACAAACACAACGCTGTTCATTTATACAACGTTATATTACTAAACCATCTGTCCGAAACACTCCCTTCTCTAATCAGAAAATAATAGATTTATACATTACAAGAAGAAGATTAAATGATAGAATGTATACTTTACAGACACTTTTATGGATAAAGAGAACATCAGCTGGTGATATAACGTTTACTACTTACATACCTTTTACGAGCTGTCAGATGTATTAATGAAAACCACCTACAGCTAATTCTTTTTAATCAGTGTTATTGTTAAAGTTTTAACCCCTTAAGGACACATGCCATGTCTGACATGTCATGATTCCATTTTATTCCAGAAGCTTGGTCCTTAAGGGGTTACAGGAACACTATAATGTCAGAAACACAAACATGTATTCCTGACCTACAGTGTTAAAAACACAATCTATCCTTAAATATAGTAAAATCTTACATTTATTCAAGTCTGCTGTTGCTGGCTCTGCCCCTGATCTGCCTGCTTGGCTGACATTATCAGAAGTGGTGATCTGAGCCAATCACAGTGCTTTCACATAGGATTGGCTGAGACTGTCAAGGAAGAAGATCAAACACAGCCCTGGCCAATCAGCATGCAAATCAATGCATTTCTATGAGGCATGTCAGTCATACTGTGCAGCACTGCCCCAGGAAGCACCTCTAACAGCCATCTGAGGAGTGGCCAGTGAAGTTATCAATAGGCTGTAATGTAAACACTGCATTTTCTCTGAAAAGACAGTGTTTACAGCAAAAAGCCTGAAGGTAATGATTCTACTCACCAGAACAAATTCAATAAGCTGTAGTTGCTCTGGTGACTATAGTGTCCCTTTAAGGTTTGAGCGGTTTCGGTGCCATGGGGAATATGGGGTCCATTGGAGATCTCATTGAGGGACCTCACTCCAGATGCTGCCACCACCGTTAATGTCCCCTCTTCTTTCCTTCTTGTCATGGCAGCTAGTAGTGGCAGTGAATGCCCTGGTGGCTCATGATGACTATTCAGTATGGTGGGTCCCAGTTCTGATAGACCCTTTGCTTTGACTTGTCTCCCTTACGGTGTTCACTATCTATCTATGTCTTTGGAGGTTATTTACTAAGCCATGATAATGTCTGGTACTGTACTAATACTAATGTTTTTTTGCTCTGAGCTTCTGCAGGACTGTATTTTGGCAGAAGCACTACCTGTTAATGCTACATGGGGTAGTCTTGGATAAAATGGGCATAAAGGGGTACTTAACAGCAAATGGTGCTTTTGTGCTCAGAAAGAGTGTAAAATTGTTTGTCCTCTCCGAAACATTCTAAGCATTCAGCAAGAGATAATGCAGTGTTAAACCTCTCTCTCCACGTCTTGAATTCACTTCACGACATTAAAATTGGGCAAACCCAATCAGGGAGGGTGGGGGGTCGGGGGGAGACAGGCTATTCCATTGGAGTGGAGTAACAATGAAATTATTACGATGTACAGGTAAAATGGCTGCAGAGCTAGATTATACATAGGTGGCCAAGTCTTAGACAAGGGCCCTCTCAGGGACTGCAGATCCAGCTCTGGCTTGAGAAATGATGTTCGAGGGAGCTTCATTGCCTACACCAATATCAGATGTAGACCTCTTTAAGAGCTCACCAATCGGATATTGGTGCAGACTCCAGTGCTCCCTCAGTGGACCCAAATCTCTCTATAGGAACAGCAGGGAACAGTAAGAAGGAGGGGGGCAAACACATGCACTCAGACACCACACACACACACACACACATACACACACAGCTCCTCCCTTCACACATACAGCTCTCAGTGTCCACCGCACACAACACTCACAAAAACAAAGCCCTAGACCTTAGGAGGGGATGCAAATTTGGTTCCCTGACTAGGGCCCAGGGCAACCATATTCCAGCCCAATAGGCAGACATTAAGTAGCTCTATAATTGACTCACAGTAATTATTTTAATCTGTCAACACCACAGCACAGGTTTACTTAATATGCTAAAATGTAAAACGAAGATTTGGGGAAACTAAAAATTTCCTTTTTAATCCGTTTTGTGTTATTCACAGATGTTCAGTAACTAATTAGGAATTCTGGGTAAGAAATTGTGGTATAGAACATTTCAGAAACTGCGCATCAATATTAAAAATCCTCTTCTACACTCTCCTGACTGATCTCGGTTCAAAAAGCAAGTATTTTTAATTAGAGGACGAATTATTGAATTTATTTCATTTGGCATTGCATGTTTCCCTCTGCAAGTGAACATGTTCAATAATGGGATTCATATCATTATTTTATTATCTCTATTTAATCTGCACCGTCTGCACTGCATTAGGCTGTGTTCATCAATGAGGTTCTAGATGATGTGACATTTAGACATTCTGAGATCATTGAGGAAACCAACAAATTGCCAATTGAAGCTTAAGAACCCCAATAAAATAACTTCTAAAGAAGCAGATACCATGCTATCCGTCACACTGTATAAACCAAGACCGCAGTACTAGGGGATAAAACAGGAGCTAATCAGAACAGGTGGCAAAGGTTCCTGACCAGGAAATTCCAAAATTCAAAAGACAGTTGGAGATAACATAGTATTTTGGATATGTGCTGCCCTAGGCAGGATGAAACTTGGGCACCTCCGCCCCTACCTGTTTAAGAAGAGCACACAGTTTGACTGACAGAAACACACTAACACACCCATTCACTGACAGGCACACACTCTCAGATACACATACAGTGACATACATTCACTGACCGACACACACTGGCAGACGCACACATTCAGTGACAGACACACTTACTCACAGATATACACTGACAGACACACACATTCACTCACAGACACAGTGACAGAAACACTCACTCGGACACACAGTGACAGACATGCACACATTCACTCACAGACACACTGACAGACACACACATTCACTCACAGATACACACACATTCACTGACATATACACACACATTCACTCACAGACACACTGACACACGCATATTCACTGACAGACACACACATTCACTGACAGACACACACACACACACACACATTAACTGACAGACACACACACACACATTCAACGACAGACACCCTGATACTGACACACTCACACACTTACAAAGTATTATATATTTTTTTTCAATTTTTAATTTTAATCCCCCCAACCTCCCTACCTTTGGGAGAGCTGGAGTGGATTCTTCCCTGGGGTCCAGTGGGGCTTGCTGGGCTGGTTGCTAGGCTGGGCTTGCTAGGCGTGCAGGCAGGCAAGCGCACAGTTGTGGCAGCGAGGGAGCTGTAATCCTCCTGCTCAGCTCCCTTGCGCGCCGCTTAGTGATGCTGGGAGCCAGAGTGACATCATATCCAGGTTCAAGATGACAGACGCACAAAGGGCCACAGCCACACGAGGACTGCTGGAAAATACCACACAGCGGCTGGTCGAGATATTCCCTGAATTCTGGGTGAAATTAGCTGCTAAACAGGCCCTCTATGTGGAAAGCAGGCAGAAAAAACGTACACCACACCACTCACCTCCTGTCAACCAGCGACCCCAACGTTGATTACCCAAGCGATCAAAACCCACGCTACCGGGGGCGGGGCCTGACTATCATTGTGGATAGAAGTATCTCGTACTAGCTCCTCCACCCTACTGCTGTAACTGGTATCTTACACCTTCACTAAGCTTGAACGGAGATAAATCCAGTAAGGGCTATACTCCCTGACTCACCTGACATGTCGTGCAGCAGTCAGCGGCTGATCAAAAGTCCACTTACCCCATCGTAGCAAATGTGGCCTAGTGCACACCGGAGGGGATTGGCGGGCGATCTTCCAATCACGGACCGGTGGGGGTGATCCCAGTCCACTCCTGGGGGGCCACCCGAACTTGGCAAGATGGAGTGGTGAAGCCTTCAAAAGCCACCTCCGGCGTTGAGCAACTTGACATTGAGTCCAAGCTAGACAGACTTTTCGCTGATTTCTGGAGCTGGCTGGAAAGCAGGCTCTGTGAGCAATGACACATTCAAGCTCCACAGGGGCTGTGTTACCGCCCATCCCGCAGTATCCAGTCACGATCAAAGACTGGAAGATCGAACTGGGGTCGACGGCAGAGACGCAATGACCGCCACATAATCAGGACTACAAAGCGCAACCTACCCTCAGACCAACCTCAGCCCCAGCCCTTTCCTGGTCGGATTCAACAGGCGAAGTCCGCAGAGGGGTCTTCCCGGCCACGGCAAGGCTCACTATAGTTCCCACGGCTGACGCTCCAACGTCCTTTTCTGAGGCCCTCCTCTCTGACTGCTCCCTGCCACACGTTGCAGATTGTATCGAGTACCCCGCGGGGGACAGCAGTTCACACAGGACAATCACTAATGCCGTGGATCCTGTATTGCACACGAGCGACAGGGTTGTTTTTAGTCGTAGAGAGACATACATTTTGCTTTGTTATCCATTGTGGTATTGAATATAATTTTCTATTACTCACTTATGGTCCTACTGGGCTTAACGCTATTCCATCACCCCTCAATTTAAATTGTTAATAGATGATAAAGAGGGGTCCCTCCTGGGAGGTTGACACTCTTAGTTAATCTATAATTTACCATAATCTTCATAATACTTTTCCACAATACAATAATTCGAACGCAAGCAAGTGTTGTTATCGTTTATGTCTAGCTACCTTAACCTTAGATAACTGGTCTAGATATGAAAATATAGCCTTAATATGTCAGTTTTATGTAAAATTACTCACGATTCTCAAATTCCTTATACCTGTTTTTCTCTGAAAGAAGTTTTGCTTGCATATGCTGTTGGGGCATTCCAAGCTTGTGTTATCTTTTCTGCACTACAAAAATAAACAATAATAAATAAAAAAAACACGCTTTCGCGATTGAAGCTCAAGGGGAAAATCCCTGTCACCTGCACACTCCCCTGGACGGCTCATCACTCCGGCACTCCTAGACCGAAGAGCGAGGAAGTCAAACCCCAGTGCGAATCCTACACAACCAGAGGGAACGACCTCGACATCACACTACAACAGATCCATATGGTTCAAGGTGCAGTGAGCCACCTGAAAAGCGGGAGCGACAGAGGGAACCTTATGGCCTTACTGGTTGGGACCAGAAGAGTGGATTGCTCCGGATCACTGGGACTTTCTTTAACTTTGGAGGTCGGAGGCTTAATTTGGGCATAGGCTGAATTATTGGCACTAAGCACGTTATGTTAGCACAAGCTAGGTGCCACAGATAATTTGGGTTTCTAGTACATCCTTTCAAGCTTCACCTGTCAGAACACCGACATACGATTCTTACTATAACCACCTTGGTGTTCCTTTACCCTTTCCCTTAGCCCTTCAGCATAATCTTATGTACAAATTCACTTGTCTCTAAACACTGAAAAGGATGACATACCAGTTTTATGCCATTTTTTGTTTCTTTAATTTTATTTCTTTGTATTTTAACACAACATCATAAGGTACAGCATTATTGCAATCACTTTTTCCTTTCGATTGTTCTCACACTATCATGCCACTCAGCCTGCATAACTTTACTTAGAGATAGGATTATCTGTTTATAGGTTTTTATTTACATTTTTACACAAAAAAAGTGCAGTTTCTCTTGAAATGTTTTGTTTTTCCCGCATGCCTATCGTTCCTGGTAATGTTTTACTCGTGTGCCTCCTAGACAGACAAGTATGACTAGCCTGCTTACCATTATACTTACAACATTGTGCCACTTTCTCATGCCATGTATATGTATTACATTGATATTATTGCTTGCTTATGCTGTCGTGGCATCGTAAGCTCTTTTGTTATCTTGTGCACAGAAAACATAAAGAATAATAAATAAAAATAATACTCCCAGTAATGTGTCTTTAAACTACAATAAATGCGTTTAGAAATCAGTCTGTAAATAAGATACATTGTTCTTGTTATAAATTACATTTTAGTTCTATACATTGTTGTTGTTATTCTGTTATACTGCAACTTTTTCTCAGAACAGCCCCACCCTTGGCAACACCTCTACAATTATAGGGAAACTATAGGCAGCCAGACCGTTTCAGTTCTTTGAAGTGGTTCGGGTGCAGTGTGCCAGTCCCACTTAGGCGTGCAATGGAAAACATTGCACTTTTTAAGAAACTGCAATCAATACCTTGCAGGGTTAACTCTACCTCTAGTGGCTGTCAATCAGACACCCCCTAGAGACACTTCCTGGTGGTTAGGTGACTTTTGGCTGTATACTCTGCATGAGGACATCCAGCATTAGTCAGTTCTGCACAGGAATGCACTGCAGCAATGCTTTCCTATGGGAAAGGCCTAATGCGCTCGTGTTCGCCACACATGCACTTTAGTAACCCTTATACTGGGGTCCACAAGGGAGAAGGAGGGTGCTATTCCTTGCACTATAGTATCCCTTTAAAGTGTCCGTCTTTCTCTTTTTGAACTGTTGGGAACTACGAGCAATGGCAGCCTACTGTCACCCTATAAAATCTGGAAACAGTGAAACAAGAATCTAGGAAAAAGTGGAAACCTTAAAGTAAATGCTGTTACTGTTCTATAGGTTAAAAGGATGCTGTGGGAATACTATAAAAAATAATTAAAATATTTCTTCAATTAAAACCTAATTCTGTTCATTATCTGGATCTCAGTGCCAGTTTACCCCTCTGTACATTGTAAATTTACATATCTCCCTTATATCGTGGCGGTGGGCCGCGTGCCATCTACAAGCACAGACTGAGGGGCCAGACGAGAGTGAATTAATATCCAGTTGGAAAGCAATGCCTTATACATTAAAATAAATCACAGATTGTGACAGAAGCTCCCAACCAACTGGTCGATCTATCCTGCATATTACGAAACCACAGGACAAATAGATAGATAGATAAATAGAAATAAAGAAAGATAGATAAAAAGAAAGACAGTGTATAGATAGATAGATAGACAGACACTACATAAGAAGTGGATACATTGAAATACAGACAGACAGCTAGACAAACTGACAGGTATACCAATACACATATTTATGTATGTGTGCATTCAAATAGCAAAAATGCCTTAAACTTATATAATAGTAAATAACTTTGTAGGATGTTTAATTAATTGTCTTTTACTTGCAACATGTAGAAAATAGTTAAAGAAGCTGGCCTGTGTACAGCGAGTGTGCCAAGCAACGCACGCGCTCATATACATTCCACAGATATAACCATGATTATTCACACATCTTGTTGTAGAAAACACTCCTTTCAATGCTGCAGAACAAGATATACCTTCCCCATATCATCGTCTGTTTGCTACGCTCTTTTGTCACAAAGCTGACATTGTCCTCTCACAGATTGGCGCTGGAGGGAACATTACTGGCGGGCACAGAAACCACACTGTGCTGGCTGCCAGCTGCATATACCACACCAGCCGAGTCTGCGTGTTACCCGGTTACATAATGTGCTTTCACTAGAGATGATCTTTACAGGACATCACAAGCTACTGACACAGCCTGGCAGACTACAGATAGATCTCAATGTATAGGGGACCCCAGCCTTGCCTAAATAATCACTCAGCGGCACCCCACAATGTTCACTCACTGCGTTTTATGTCGTTTTTAAGAAGTTATACGGTTTGTGCCTTATTTATGATAAATATTATATGGAAAGCGCAATATGGACTAACTGGGAAGGCTGCCAAGGGAAACAAACATTGCGCTCTTTTTGCTTTTTGGTATATGATTCTTTTTTTTTTTGTAATGCTTTTTAATGAAAAACTACTGAAATACCTCGAGCGACTCCTTCATTACTAATAATAACACAGAATTAGCAAATACAGGGTACCTGGAGACATTTGCCAGGAGGTTTATTTGTTAAATAGTGAGTTATGGTTAATTAACATGCAAATTGCTGAATTTAAGCAAATCTAAAGTTCAGATTTCTCAAACACCTACATTTTTTTCACGACATCTAAATGTGGCAATTTGAATATAAAATCACTACATTCATTTATTTGCTAAAAACAATCAAAGATGTGATAGGCACTCCATGCGTACTCTGCAAAGCCTTGTTTCCGAGGGAATAAGCTCCCAAGTTATCTTCCAACAGAAGGGTTAGGCAACATTTTGGGTTAGGCAACATTTGGCACTGCAGCTGTTGTGGACAACATCTCCCATAATGCTTCCAGAGTCACAATGCTGGCAAAACATCATGGGAGATGCAGTCCACACTATCTGGAAGGCCATAGACTGCCTACCCCTATGCTAGATTTTAAGGGTGCTCTGTTCCTTTTGTATCCGTAGGTGTTAATTTTTTGTCTGTATTGCACAGTGTTGTGTATTGCTTTACAAAAATGCTACTTAAATGTAAAAAGGATGTTTATATCCCAGATGCAGTATGTAGAGTTGGTACTTTAGCATAGAAGGAAACCATGTAGTGTGCTCAGAGGTTTCTCTCTTCCTCTTAAACTCCCGACTGCTAGAACGCATTCACACAATGTGACCTAGTTGTGCCACTATTTACATTCATTCTGCATAAATGCAGAGCGGTGAGGGAAACCTTGTCGGATACATTTTGTTGCAGCAGTAAATGGGAAGGTAAGTGGGTTTATGGGATATATTGTATCTTGTAGATCTATGCAAGCTAGTCTCCTGACAAACTGGCACTTCTGTTATTCCTATTTTATTATTATTATTGCCATTTATATAGCGCTGACTTATTCCACAGTGCTGTACAATATTATAAAAGGGGGAAATGAATAAATGAGAGAATTACAAAATATTACAGGAACAATAGATGCTCAGACCCCAGGAGGTGGGCTATAAAACAAACAATGTGGAAAGTAGCAGAGCTGGAGGTGAGAGCAAGAGACAGGTTTGTAATATAGAAGTTACGCTGTTTCATTAAACAGTCTCTTACTCACTGCGTCTAGTAATTATTACTATGTCAGCCTTACAATTAATACCATTCTTTTCGATTTGTTTTTTTAAAGAGCACAGGTAGCTGCTAACTCCTGGCTATTAGCACGTGCTGTAACCTCTGACCACAATGACAGCACCTCCACACATCTCACCTGTTATGAATGGGCAGAATTGTTTTTTTATTCCAATTTTTTTTTAGCTATCTAATTGAAACCTTTTGAACTGTAAATTTTTCCCCTCTCCCCTCCTCTCAGATCCAGTGTTTTAGGGTGGCTTTTTCCCCTGTGCAGATGCGACCTTTCACCCTACTGATTGTCTCATCTAAAAAAATGTATCAAGCGAAATTATTTTAGGACTGAACATGTGATCGCATCTATCTGTGAAACTGCTGCGCGATTTAAATACTTTAATGCATTTTTAACATTCCTGAATCTTTCAACATCTTTGCACAAATATTCTCTTGAAAGAAGAATTCAAATTCTTCTTGACCTTAAACCACCTTCTGTTTTTAGCAGGAAACAGCGGAACATGCATTAACCCTCTCCGTGCCACAGGGTTGAAGAGTTCATTGATTTATTTTTTTTTGTCACAGGAAGTCTTTAGCGCGTGGTTACAATGTGATCAAAGGCTAAAATGTGCTTTGAAACAGCGAGAACCCTGTACCTTGCCACAAAGAGTTAAACGTATCAGGAATAAATCCTAAATGGGTCTTCATATCACCAGATTTTAGCTGCAATCAAGGGACACTCCAGGTGACCTTCATGTTTAATGCATCGTGTGGATAATACATTAAAACATGCAAACGTAAAAATATAAAAATGACAAAATAGCCAGCTATTTACTAGAGTGAGAATTCAAAGTGAATTTAAGGCCATACTGGCCGAACGGAAAGCACAGCTGAATCTGAGAATTGTTACAGCTCAGCTGTTTGTATTCACTTTAAATTCTCCGTTTAGTAATTAACCCTAGATCTTAACAATCCTCTAAACTTCCTGCATTTGCAGCAAATAGACAGAATTCCAAGCCCCAGCTGGAATTTCCAGAAATCCAACGAATCGTCCTGTTCTCGTTAGTATTTGTAGGGATTTGTGGGAAATTTATATCAGCATCGACAACTGGAAAAAAACATTCCAAAAACAAAACGTTGTTACAGTCCTTTTAGAAAATGTCAGTGTGCCAAAACAATGTCCCCTTTAACTGAAGCTTTTTGGTAGTTTCTGCATGATGAAGAATTCTCCTGCCGGTCCGGTACGTTCTGTGCATTTCTGTAAATATACGTTTGGTCACATCCTTCCATGACCTGAAATGACTCTTCCTTTTACATACACATGACTTGTAAGCATGCAGGAACCAAAGCGGAAAATGCTAATTGGCTTCCTTCAGAGCATGTTATATAGCCAGCATATTTCCTATGGTACATACTTTTTCCATAAACACGTACTTACAGATAAAATCCAGGAAACCAAGTATTAGGACACACAGTGCCTCACGCTCACTTAGAGATCAGAAAGGCCTGAGTTAAACAATCAAATGGGAATTTATATTGTTAAAACATCTCCCATGCTATTGATCACCGCTGTCTGGTCCTGTTAAAGCAGATGTGTCACCTAAATCTTTATTTTAATCACAGAAACACAGCAGAATGTTTTAAAATTACTCAACTGAGTTTTATTCAACCTTTTTTTTAATAAATACTTAAATGTAATAAATGTTAGATTTCTGTACTATGATTTGTACTTGATCTAAATAATAACACGTACATACTGTTCTCTTGATTTTCTTCTATTTTGCACAATTTAAACTTGATAAGTGGGAGTGTAAATAGATTCATACCCCCAGCATCGACTGTGGGCAGGATAGAAGGTAGAGCAGGGGAGCGCAGATGTTTTAAAACTACATCTTCCATGATGCTTTGTCATCCCAAAGGCATTCTAAAAGCATGCAAAGCATCATGGGAGTTGGAGTTCTACAAGATCTGGAGATCTACCATTTGGGCACCCCTACTGGACATGTTATTGAGGTAGAAATACAGCTTTTAAGATTTTTTCACTGGAAATAGAAGTGTTTAAGTTGCCTTGAATAATCTGATGTTGCTTACCTTCCTCTTTTTAAATTAAAATATAACATATTTTTTTTCTGAATAACAATATTTTGTCACCATGCCGGTCTGGGAAAGTCGTTTTGTTGGTGACCCACTTTAACTAAGAGTTCTCTTAGCAAACCGGTGTCCTCAGCAATCCTGTACTTGTTTTTCACCCTCCGCCTGTCTAGCCTGCTTTAAATTTTTATATATGTACTTTTAAAAAATTGATCAGCTGGCTTGCTGTCTCCTCTTGTGCTCTGCGTAATAAGGATTTAATTTATAAAAAGAAACCTGAATTCTGTACAGTGCTATTAAAGTGACCTAAATTTGGAACACGAGGCAAGTCAGTCACCAGATTCTGCACCAGTTGGCAGATAGAACCAAGAGCAATCACTCCAACCGTGTTACAGCGGTATGCCTCCCTCTCCTCCTCTCTCTCTTTATCTTGGTTTTCCCATGAAAAAAACCACCCTGAAACCCCTTCTACATATACTTCCAATGGAATGTAGGGAGCGATGTCACGGAAAATGTCCAAATTCAGTCCAGAAATCCCACAGCTAAATTAAGGGCACTCCAGGCACCAGGCATTACTCTTAAAGGAGCAGTTTACATAGTTACATAGTTACATAGTTACATAGTTACATTGCTGAAAAGAGAGTTGCGTCAATCAAGTTCAGCCTTCCTCACATATGTTTTTGCTGTTGATCCAAAAGAAGGCAAAAAACCTAGTATGAAATGCTTCCAATTTTGCCACAAACTAGGAAAAAATTCCTTCTTGCCCCCCAAATAGCAGTCAGATGTCTCATTGGATCAAGCAGCTATTACCCCACTAATTAGAAATGATATCCCTGTATGTTATGTTTTTGCAAGTATTTATCCAATTGCAGTTTAAACATCTGTATAGACTCTGACAAAACCACCAGAGAATTCCATATCTTTATTCCTCTTACTGTAAAAAAACTTTTCTTTGCCTTAGATGAAATCTCCTTTCTTCCAGCCTAAATGCGTGACCTTGTGTCCTATTTATCGCCCTGTTTATGAATAGATTTCCAGATAATGGTTTGTACTGGCCCTGAATATATTTGTATAATGTTATCATATCCCCTCTGAGGTGCAGTTTTTCCAAACTAAAGATATTTAAATTTTTTTACCTTTCTTCATTACTAAAATGCTCCATTCCTTTTATCAATTTTGTAGCTTGTCTCTGGACTTTTTCTAGTGAAATTATATCCTTCTTTAGAACAGGTGCCCAAAATTGCACAGCATATTCAAGGTGTGGTCTTACCAGCGAATTATAAAGAGGCAAAATTACATTTTCATCCCGAGAATTTATGCCCCTATTTATACATGACAAAACCTTACTGGCCTTAGCAACTGCAGATTGACATTGCATATTGCTGCCTAATTTGTAGTCTATAACAATTCTCAAATCCTTCTCGTGTGTGGTTATCCCTAATTCACTACCACGTTGCTTGTGCATTCTTAACCCCCGAAGTGCATAACTTTGCATTTCTCTACATTAAATTTCATCTGCCATTTTAGTGCCCAGTCCCCCAATCTATCAAAATCCCTCTGCAGCAAAGCAATATCCTGCTTACATTTTATTACTTTACAACGTTTTGTATAATCTGCAAACACTGAAACGTGGCTTTCAATGCCTATTGCAAGATCATTTATAAATATGTTAAATAAAAGCGATCCCAAAACAGAACCCTGAGGGACACCACTTTTCACTTTTGTCCAGCCTGAAAATTTACCATTAATGACAACTCGTTGTACTCTATCCTTAAGCCAATGTTCTACCCAAGAACAAGAATATTCATCTAGACCAATTTCTTTTAGTTTGAAGACTAACCTATTGTGAGGAACCGTATCAAATGCCTTGGCAAAATCCAAGTAGATCACATGCACTGCAACACCCTGATCTATACTTCTACTTACTTCTTCATAGAATGCAATTAGGTTAGTTTGACATGACCTATGTTTCATAAAACCATGCTGATTATTGCTAATAACAAAGTTCTTCCCAATGAATTCCTGAATATTATCCCTTAATAGCCCTTCAAATATTTTCCCAGTCACAGAAGTTAAGCTCACAGGTATGTGAGGATTAATTAAGATGGCCCTTGATCTAAAATGGCCGCTATATGTACTCCCATAATCTAAAACCCCATCCCCACTTTCTCTAGCCAAACCCCCCATATTAACACCTCCTATGCCTGTCTCCTAGCCCTTTCAAGGCCCATTCCACCCAGCTGCGCTGCTCCGTGGGCTACATTAAATAGCCTATTTTCTTTACTTTCAAGCAGACTCCAGTGAGCAAGCTCTGTGAGTCAGTAGTGGGTTTATATTGGCAATACAAATCCCACACAGGTGAAAATTAAGGGGCATTCCCTCTAATTAGCTCAGCGGCAGCAGCAGCACCCACAAGGAGGGGAATAGAAACAACCAGAGGAAAAAAACAGGGAAAAAGTTTTAAATAAAAACAGCAAATAAATAAATATATATATGAGAAAAAGGGAAAACTTTTTAAATTTTTAACAGCAAAGAGAAAACATATGAATAAAAAAAAGGGACGCAGTTATAAATAAAATCAGCAAAGATTAAAAATATCTATAAAAAATTAAAATTAAACCTGCTAGGCTAAAAATGGAGGTCAGTGTCGGCCTGGAATGTCCTTTAAGGCTCTCAGTACTATTACCACAACAGATCACCAGAACAGCATTAGTTTAGGTGTATTTTCAGCATTTTGTTTCCCGAAAAATGTTAGGAAACTGAAGGATGTGGGAAGTCTAAATGTACCTGATCAGGGCGAGAATTAAACACATCATGATTCAATAAAGAGCATCTCGTCAATCTCTATGTTAAACCATTGCAGCGGAAGAAATAAATCTCTTAAACGCCATGTGAATAAGAATTCTCACAGTATGAAGCCATATTTTATTTTTTTATTTTTTATTTAGTAACGTGCAAATATATTCTCCGTGCAGATCTCATCATGGGGTCATATTCAGTAATAAAGCACACTCATTAAATGTAACTTGCGTTCTAACCCCCCCCCTCACTCAGCTATATAATCACAAGTAACCCTTTGTGTGGCTGCACACTGCGTGTGTGCAGCCATGTGTGCGCACATAAAAAGGCTTAAATCACACCGAGCCGGTACTTTTTTTCATTAAACTATAACATAGATTGTCATCTTGGGCTGTTTGCAAATTTATATTCAGGTTTCCAAAGGAACATATTGCTATGAAGAAAAAGCATCGAATAACAGATAGAGCTGACAGATCCATCGTACTTTATTGGACACAGGTCACATCGATTTACCGAAGGACATAACACATGAAAAGAGCTGCCTTAAAAAGGAACCAAGTTAATGAAATCAATGTAGATCATATGAAAGGGACACTCCAGACTCCTTCAGCACTTTATCTTGCTGAAATGCTTTATCTCTGAATAATATATCCTCTTTTCATTTTACAAAAAGTGCAGATTTTAAATAGAAATTGGCACTTTAATAAATGAATCTGATTACACCCCACTGGCTGTCAATCAGACGGCCAGTCCTGTTACTTCCTGGCATGGTTAGCTCAATGGAGCTAAACTCAGAAGGCCGCAATTGCCTTCATCGAGATGCATTGTGACGTTTGTGATTAGAATGTCTGGGCTGGGGGAGAAGTCAATTTACCTGCTTTGATGTCTTATTCCACATTAGTGTAAAAAAATAAATAAATCATGTTTTCTTTTGGGCTCCCCAAAGTTTAAGCCTCATTGTAATCTTTTTTTTATTTTATTTTTATGCTTTATTATTTTTTTTCCTCTATACAAAATATTTAGCAATTGGCATCACAATCCAGTTAAGTTCTGGCATAGGCAGGGCACACAATTATTTGCAGTACAAGACACTGGATACAATGTATAAAAGTGTTGCAAGCAGAAATTTGAGAAATCACTCTTGATTCCTGGGGTTCTATGATAATTACTCCAATCTTCTGTTTGCAAATCTTTTATAAATCACTTCTGCCAGCTGATCTTCCGACCAGGATTATGGGTACCTTTTTTTGAACAACGAACCATATTTTATAGGTATGCTGTGAATTTGTACGGTTTCTTTTATTTTTTATTTTCATTCATTTTTTTTTTTTCCGAATATTTAATTTCAAGATCCATTTGTATCCTGTCGCAGCATGTTTTTCCATAGAAACGTTGTATCATTCATATGTTGGACGATCTAGGTTATTGCAAATATTCATTATAACTTCCTCCATCAGAAATACTGTCTTTAAATCTGTCTTTACAGGAAAGCCTAAAATGAACTACCTTCCCTGTGCGCTATGTATAATCACCTCCCGCTCCTTCCAGATCTTGCAGATGCCTGTGATCCCTTTAAACGTCTTTTTACCATGTCCCACTGCTGCAGCTCCTTTTATCTGTCCTTGATGAAAGCCAGGAGGACATGACAGAGAGAACCAGTGTGAAATGCCCCAGCAATTAATAGCAGAACTGCTTAATATATCCTCCCTTTCTCTCTCGCTACAATTCAGCCAGCCTACTGTATAGCATGAAAGTGTTTTGCGCAGAGATGAAATAGCCCTGTATGTCATAACAAAGTTTAAAATTGCAATTCTTCGCAGCGAGTTGCAAGCCCTGGATAGTATTTGGATATTCCGGAGTTATATAAAGCTTGTTCTTCACTTTAGTACCTCCTTAACCTATCTGTTAGCTAAGAGGCGTCTCTCCTCTTCTGGGTAATAATTCCGTGATATGTGCAATTGATGGAAAACCACTTGTTTTAGAGTATAATAATTCCCCATCTCCTGTCTGTAACGCCTACCACTGAATTACCCGGAGCGTCTCTAGAATTCCCTAAGGAAGGTTAAAATACAGACTCCTTCAAGGGGAAAATGTATGTCAAGTATGGATTCATTCCGTCAAAACATAACATCAGCTTTGCTTTCGGTTAGAGTCTGTTATTTTTTTTTTACAATCTTTATCTTCAGTTTCAGGTTAATACAATAAAGTTCACTTTTTACTGTAAAAGAAGTAAAAAAGAAGTCAGTACAGGCTGTCATTTTGGAGGATATAACATTCATTTTGTTGCCTAGCTTTTTTTTGTTTTTGCATATTCATGTTTAGCTAAGGCAATACGGTAGCAGGTATAAGTGGTTTAACTCTGAGCCGAGCCATTGGCTGACTGTAGATAATGTGTATGGAGGCCTAAGAGAGAAGTGTGAAATATCGGTGAGAGAGATAGATATTAGGAGGAGGTCTAGTGTGAGGAAGATGGCGGGGGATGAGTGGTTGAGATGGAATATAGAACGGATCGGAGGGCTTTGTTGGAATCCTTCCCGAATCCCCCAGAATGCTTCTCTGCTCCCCGGATGATGTCTGGACTCTCTGGAGGTGTTTTTGCGATGGTGTCCTGATAGGAGAGACTGGTTTCTCATGTCTCGACACACAGTACCGCCCTAGGAAGGGACTGTGAACCTTTTGGGGTGTGTTGTACCAAGTAGTTAATATCCTGTTATTGGATTGTTGGTATTTCGAGCAAATAAGATCTAGCGAATCAATAACTGGCACAAGCAACCCCCGCATTGTACATCCTCTGCATTACTTGTATTAGTTATACCAGGTTTACCCGTTAAACGGACAATAACATCTTTATCGGTTTAATTAGCCCAAAAGAGGGAGTTTTCAAAACAACCCTTTAAGAGGCAGGCTAGTATTAATACCAGTTAGGTCTCAAAGCATGTAGAGGTACTCGGTATACTCGGTACCAGTGTATGGCGTTAAACTACACAATGGCTGAATGTAAAGAGAGAGATAAAAAAATGTTTTACTGGAGAATAAAGTCGTCCCACTAACTTCCTAAATGTTATGTAATTAAAAAAAAAAAAAATAGCCTCCTCTTTGTAAAACAAAGAACCTGCACCAGCAGCCATCACCTATCAGTCCTCGCCCTGTGCCTTGTCATTGTATTCACAATCTAGCAGTTAAGTAGTATGTAAATGTATGTAAATAGATGCTTTCTATTAAAGACAATCATTCGATGGATGAAGTATTTAGTTCAGAAACAAAAAAGCAGGTGCCTTATCTGAAGGAGGAGGATGAAAACATGACTTGTTGGTGCAGCCTACTAGCGTAATACAGAAAGGAAAATGACCGTACCCATCTAGAATAATCTCACGTATAACGCCATGTGTACATTATTTATATAAACGTGGCGCTCCCAGGTCCCTATCGAGAAATCGGGGAAAAAACATGACAATCTGAAGTTTAATAACGTAAATCCCTTCCACCAAAATATCTGGAAAAAAACAGTGAATATTGCAAATGCTTTTTTTTCCATTGTTTTGTAATAATTAAGGACCTCTCTTCAGTTCATCATGAATATTTTATGGGGAGAAAAAGACAGACCAGAGCGGAGGGATGGTACCATTTCCTATTATCATCACTGATTATTTTAAGCTTTATTATTATTTACAGTTACTGGGGAGGCAGACATGGGTCTATGTTTGTGACATCGATTGAAAGACGATGATGGCCATGAAGAAGGGGGTCCATTGATCACAACGCTGCAG